CAGCCCAGTAATAAGCAAACGAGGTTATCTTCATATTATGGACGACTGCAGCAGCAAGTGGAGCAAATGCTATGTTGTGAGTACAGTATTTTGCTTTAATTCTTTGCCGGAGATTACCCCAACAGCGTGCTCTCACTGGCCATTCTGAGGTCGCATGAAATCTAACAATAAAACAGTTTCTCGCCAAAATTTTCTAACCTGCAAATCTATAACGTGAGAGGGTAACAGTGCACCATTCCCCGCGAGTGTTGGCTGCTTGTATGGCTCCGGTTTCTGTCAAATATCTCATTGACTGGTCGCTTAGGAGACTAATTACTAATTTTATCTCCCTCGTTGTTTGGGCTCTTTTTCGTGCAACATTGATATCTGGGGAAATAAAATTTCACTTCAATTTTTATTGTTGTAGGTTGTTAGAAAGCCTTACGTCCTACTTTACCGTCAGGAAGGTGATCCGGTAGGTAAACGATTTTTATTGTTATTTTGATCTGATAAACGGCGAAATTGCAAGGCAACTACATGTTTTAAAATGGGTGGACTGAGGTTAAAATGTCGTATTTAGGTCTGAAATGGGTGAGCGTCCAAACGTTCTTGTTGCAAACTCCAACCAACAAAGTGGGAAGAGTACGTCTTCTGGGTTCCTTTGTTGCTGAGGGTTAATTTTGCTTTCTTGTCTTTCTCATATTAGACAACTTAAGCAACGTGACGACGCGGGGTCAACGAAAACAACAGAAAAGCGATAGGTTTAGTTGTAAAACAACAACTCTACACGTTTACCACACGTTTTTGTACATTTCTTTGCCGTCGCTGCACGATTACAATGTGAAACGTCCTAACTAAATGCGACGTTTACGACGAATTTTTCTTTTTCATCGTGAACTTGTACACAGCTCTTTAGAATGTAATTTCAGGAAAATTTGCCGATATTTGACCAAATGAGCGAGTAGAAATAATCGAGGAAAAATTTGCGCAAATTCACTTCATGTAAGTGACGTTTTTGCTGTGGTCGCAGTCCACTCTCTATTAGGGAGCTTTAGCAACGACGACGGCGACGGCGACGGCAGAGATACCGTCTCTTTTAAAATGAATCCCCGTTTTTTCACACTTTGTCGCGTTTATTCCAATTCGCTGAAAATGTCGAATGTAGGTGAATTTCCCTGGAGTTGATTTCTTGGGGACCTCACTCAAGTTTAGAAAGAAAAAGAAAAATCATCGTCGCTTGTTTAAATTTTCCTTTAAACGTGAAATTAGGCGTTTTCACTTCGTAGTCCTGCAGTGGCGGTAAAGAAATGTACAAAAAAGTATGATGTACGTGTGTAAAGTTGTTGTTTTGCTAATCAAACCTATTGCATTTTTGCCCGGTTCTCGTTGCGAAAGCTCCCTATTAGGGGGATTTGACACCAACGCCTCTTTTTAATTGCCGTTTCAAAATTCATCTCTCTTATTCCATGTGGTTCAATATGTCAAATGTTGGTGACTTTTCTGGGGTTGAATTCTAAAGCACTGTATGTAAAAAATAAAGGATTAGAAAATCGTAGTCTTGTTTTGTAGTCCTCAAGAAAACGTGAAAATTAGGCAGTTTCACGACGTGGTCGTGCAACGACGGCGAAGAGATGTACCAAAAAAACGTGCTGCACGTACAAAGTTATTGGCTTTAATTATAATCTAAGGTCTTATTTACATGGAGGTGGGGGACTCCAGGTAGTTGAGGTAACCCGCTTAAGTGGGGTAATCCACCTGTCCATATAATTTCTCATTTTAATTTGATCACGTTTACCTGGTAGGTGGGGTGACTCGCCACATTTCACCTCACCTTCCTGGGGTCCCCCACCTCCATGTAAACAGGCCCTAACGCTATGTTCACGCGACTATGCCGGATAGCAGTTGCTCTGGCTCGAAAACCATATCGGATAGGGCTATTTCCGTATTGCCGTCTTGCCAGCCATCTAATTGTGTATGAAAAAGGTGCCTCAAGAAACCGTTATCATGCCTCTGGTCAAAAATCCATTGTAATTACGTTCTATTTCTGTTGTTGTTGTTACTTTCAGGTTGAACAGTTCTTAGTTAATCTCAAGTTTTCCAAAGTGGAATGTCCAGAATATTTTGTGGTGAGGAATCTATGTACTTTTATCTTCCCTTCAGTCAACTATGGAAGCCTGAAATGTCGATGTAACTTTAAGTTTGAGATTAAATTAATAAGTAGATTAATTTTGAATTTGCCCACTTCTGGGAGTGAAAGTTGTAAAGATTTCAATTCCTTTCTTTTGTTATAGTTAAGAATAACTTGGTGTGTTTGTTTTGTTACAGACGTTCAGTGTTTTCTCAATCCGTACTAGACAGTGCAGATTCCTTGTCCGAACAACAACGGAGAAAGAAGAGGATACATATGACTGGTTGTACGCACTGAATCCGTTGTTAGTCGGCAGCATGAGGTGGGTAGAACACTGAAAATTTCGCTTTTAGAAGAGGATTTCCACAGCCATGTGTACTTATTTTTGCATGCAAATCGCTTTTACTCACATACACCAGCCTCCACGGAGAGAGGGCCATTAACCCAATTAAGCCTTTTCAGGACCCATGAGCCCCCGTGGCGTTTCTCATGGGCTCTTGGAGCCACCCCTCGTCTCCTGCGTCTCGCAACGTTCCTGGAGAAGCGTTGCGTGACCACTCAAATAGCGTCTGTGTAGAACTCCGGGATAAATGTCGTAGTTATTTACAAACAATCGAATTACTCGTCGAGTAAGGCTCCACACCTCCACGATGATGCGGCGCGTTTTGAATGTTTGAGTGTTAGGATGTCAGTTCAGATTGTCAAACTTGATTTTTACGCCTGAAGCCAGGAGCAAGGGCCTCCTGCTAGAGCTTCGCTATTAAATGCTGTCTACACTTTTTAACAACTGTCTATTTGTTTAACTTTTTATGACAGGTCCAGAAAAGGCAGCTTAAAACAGGGCGCACACAAGTGAAAGGGGCGCCAGGGAGATGCTTCAATAGATTCAGGTGGCCAGTGATGAATTCAGTCACCGCCTCTTTACGACAGACNGATTTCAATTCCTTTCTTTTGTTATAGTTAAGAATAACTTGGTGTGTTTGTTTTGTTACAGACGTTCAGTGTTTTCTCAATCCGTACTAGACAGTGCAGATTCCTTGTCCGAACAACAACGGAGAAAGAAGAGGATACATATGACTGGTTGTACGCACTGAATCCGTTGTTAGTCGGCAGCATGAGGTGGGTAGAACACTGAAAATTTCGCTTTTAGAAGAGGATTTCCACAGCCATGTGTACTTATTTTTGCATGCAAATCGCTTTTACTCACATACACCAGCCTCCACGGAGAGAGGGCCATTAACCCAATTAAGCCTTTTCAGGACCCATGAGCCCCCGTGGCGTTTCTCATGGGCTCTTGGAGCCACCCCTCGTCTCCTGCGTCTCGCAACGTTCCTGGAGAAGCGTTGCGTGACCACTCAAATAGCGTCTGTGTAGAACTCCGGGATAAATGTCGTAGTTATTTACAAACAATCGAATTACTCGTCGAGTAAGGCTCCACACCTCCACGATGATGCGGCGCGTTTTGAATGTTTGAGTGTTAGGATGTCAGTTCAGATTGTCAAACTTGATTTTTACGCCTGAAGCCAGGAGCAAGGGCCTCCTGCTAGAGCTTCGCTATTAAATGCTGTCTACACTTTTTAACAACTGTCTATTTGTTTAACTTTTTATGACAGGTCCAGAAAAGGCAGCTTAAAACAGGGCGCACACAAGTGAAAGGGGCGCCAGGGAGATGCTTCAATAGATTCAGGTGGCCAGTGATGAATTCAGTCACCGCCTCTTTACGACAGACACTTCCCTAAAACGGGCAACTGGAGTTAGCTTCTGTTGTTCTTCGTTTTTAAAACTTTGTAATGCGGAGAACTCTTTTATTCGGACATGTCAGTTTGTCTTAAAGAGGACTGACTGACTGTACTGTGTATTGTAAAGTGCTGTGATGAATTCGTGTAATAGGCCATTACCGAGTTCCCCCAAGCCTCTGTTTTAAGACGAGGTTAAGTGCAAAACCTTTGCTATGAAAATGATTTTTTTATTCTTATGCAAATAACACTAATTTTAATCGGAAGTGGCTTATTCTGCGTACTGACCACAGGGTCTGAATTTGAATTAATGTTGAATTTCAAAATTTGAAAACCTGCAAGGTTAGATTAATATATTACCTTATGCTTTATAATTGATATGGATTCATTTTACATCCATTTGATCATACGCGGTATTTATGAGTTAATTCACCATTTCTGTGCGAGTTTGTTATCCTTCAGAATGGGATCGATTAAAAGCGTTCATGTTTTACAATAAAATAATAACAAATTATTTATAACAATCGATCTAATAGATTACTTAGGTAATAGTGAAAAATTTCCAATTTTGTTGCTGCATATCTCCATGCATTGTTCCTCGCACATTTGTAACTGTCGAGACACAATTTGTCGCTTGCCCCTTTTACTTTTTGCTGACTCAGGACAATAGTTCATTTTACAGTTATAGGTGGAAACGAGGCTGGAGTTGACCTTGTTTTGATACAATCCTTCCTGCGTTATTACGTTATTCGTGAAACGCATTGGCCGCGCGGGATAATGAGCCAAGGGACTAGGCAAACCTATTGCGACATTCGCTCAAAAGCGGCCATTTATGGAACAATGTTTGGAGAAGTGATAGTCAGTCTATATGGCTTTTTTGTACAATTTTTCGTTGATGAATAACCCGTTAGTGAACTCATTTATATTTTCAAATGAAACCAGACAGTAACTTCAAAGGTTGAAGATCATATTTTGGGGTANATGTTTGGAGAAGTGATAGTCAGTCTATATGGCTTTTTTGTACAATTTTTCGTTGATGAATAACCCGTTAGTGAACTCATTTATATTTTCAAATGAAACCAGACAGTAACTTCAAAGGTTGAAGATCATATTTTGGGGTAGCTTTTGGGGTAACGAGTTATTGAAGAAAATTTGCAATATTTGTTGGAACAATTATTTGTATTTTAATATTCCCCAACAGGTCGGCTGAATTGAGTTTATTGATCATAATGTACATAATAGGTATAAATCATTATTTAGAACTAAAACTTTCTCAAGTATTATTAGACATGAATATTGCATCACTGGTCAATTTTTAGTGTTAATTAGGGATGGATGCCTTTTCATAAACAAAACTTCCTCAATTAGGAGGTGGCTATTGGATAACTGACCTGTATTTTAAGTAATAAATGAGTTTTATAAGCACATTATTCGGCTTATAGGAGGAAGCGTCGTACCTACAACCAATTATTCAATGAGTTTTTTTTGATAAAAAAGGTATTAAGAAGATAGAGTGTGTTTACGTCGGTGTCTGTAAATAGTTTTCATTCTTAATAATTATGATCGGGGCCGAAGGCTAAGGCTGATAACGCTTACCGAGACCTTAATACTTATACTTGAAAGAGCTTATAAACCTGTGTTTTTTTTTCTGCGTGATGCTTTCTAGTATGTTCTTATTTTTTTGAAAGGAAAAAAAAAAACGAAAAGATAAGATCTAAAGAATCATTTTGTGGCTGCAGTTATTGTCAACAGTTAGTTAAAATTGAAGATCGTTAAAGTGATGTCTTTCTACATTTCTTTGCGTTCTGTTAAGCTAATAATTATCATTTCAAACTCGTGCGCAGAGGAGTGTCTTGAACCATGAGCTCTGATCGCCCTTGGCGGCATTATCATACCCAACATTACCCATATGACAGCTTGTGTTAAGCAAGTACTAGACTGTTCTTTTTCGGACTTCATACAGCACCTTCAGGGAGACACGATAATGTGTATAATGTTTGTGTACAGCTAATACTTGACACAGTGTAGCATGCGTCACTGACGAAACTAAACTCTTGTTAACTTTTTCAGCGAAATAGCTTCCCCCGCAGGCGTTTTTGGGGAGATCGTATTTCGTCCTCCCCACAAACGCTGCTTAACCGATAACAACATTCCTTTCTCATTATGTTATTCGCCTGGTAAGTTACCAATCAACAGCTTTGAAATAAAGCGTTGACAGGCTAAACACGACTCATAAGCTCGTGGTAGTGTAAAAACGTGACCCTAGAATTACCGTTTACCTTTCTTTTCCTTTCTTCGCTAAGGTTATGCAATGTACGGAGTATTCTAAAATCTGACTAAATCTTACTTTTGCTGCTCTGAGTCTAACATTTATTAGAGGTCATAAAGCTGTCCCAGTGTTTCATGCAGATCGAGTAATATCAGGTCAACCTGCGGTCAAGGTCAGCTTTCCAGGATTTGGAAAGTACAATGTGATTGGCTAAGCCTTAGGAAAGGAAAGTTGTCCTCGGTTGAGCAGGCGTTTGTTGGGAGGGACGAAATACGAGCTCCCCTAAAAACGTTCTCGTGGGAAGCTATCTGCGAAACAGCGGCGAAATCCTTGTTCTGAACCCCAACCTGTGCACCAGAATCTGAGTACGCGCCATGATTGGCCTGTTAAAAAGGCCATTGTCGATTGGCCAATAAGGATGAAGAGAAATTCGAAACGCAATTCCGGTAATTGGTTGAGACCGTTGGGGGCCCAGAACAAAAATCACAGCGCTGCTTCGCAGACGTTACTAACCGAAGTCAAATTTCGTCTGCGATGCAGGCTAGACACAGAGTGCAATCATGTATTAACAAAACGCCGTACATTAACAAAATCGCTTTTTTTGTGTGACCAAGATGGAGTGCAACAGATTTAGAGATGGAGACATGACTTTTCATGGTGCATAGGGAAATTTCATCGTCTGATCACCTCTAAATACTGGGGTGGACACTACTATCTTGTTGCTTTTCCGTATCGATTCAAATGCCTTTATTCTGAGAGCCATCCCCCCATCACATGTAATACGATTCCGACTGCGATTCGCCCAACGAGTCGGGTTAGCAGTCCCCTGTCGTCTTTTCAATCTGCTCTTGATAGGTAATTATTTCATTAAAATTGAGAAGAACCAAATTTTGGCTCCTGCTGCCAAAAACCGGACAGATCGAGTCTATCAATTACTTGTTAACAAAAGGCACCTTATTCAGTGGTAGTTCTGTGGCTCTTGCAGTCAGTGGTTTTAACGCAGTTACCTCACAACAGAATACGTTTTACTTATTTATTTAAATCACTTTGTGGTATACAATAAGTTAGAACAATCATGTGATGCTTGAATGATACCATTTACACTGGCGACGACAAAAGCTGTAGATTGAAATACCAGCAGCTCACACTGAAAGTATACGAGAATTACATCATTGAAATCAGGACTTATTATAATGCCATACGAGTTGACTAGCGATAAACTCTGACCAGTATTCGCGCTGCTTATTAACGGAAAGGATTTAGTGAGATCGCGGTGCATCAAGGGAAGGAAGCCCTTTGTGCGCGTCAATTTTCTTTTCCATCTTCCTTTGCGAAAATAAATGTGACCACTGGGTACGAGTCTGGACTTGCGACGCAAACGCAAGCTCAAAAAATCCTTATTTCGCTGTGAACGCTGCCCAGAAGCAAGCATAAATTCCAGCAAAAGGGCAAAATTTGTCCTTGTCTTTGTCGCGTTTGCGTCTGTACGCTATTTCACTAGACGCCAGACTCTTATGCTTACACTTGCGGTTATGCTGCTGGTGAACACCAGGCATAAGTCTTACAGAGGTGAACTAGATATAATACAGTGATAAGATACAATTTTACAGGATGGACTCTTTAAGGCCTAACAATGACCAGAATAGAATTTCTTCCTACAGTAGAACCACTAATCAAATATAAAATTCATGAGAATAAAGCAAATGATCACTAACCGTAAGTCCTATGTGTCAACAAATGTTTCTTATCAGTACAATAAGAAAGGCAGAGAACAGTGTGGAGGAACAGGTACTCACTCGGAAGAGAATTAAAACGAGCTTCCGCACAATTTATTTTGTACAATCCACACACTGCACGGATTTTACATTACATTGTTAATCTCTTAACACTCAGGAAAACAGCCCAAAATATCTGAAAAAAATTCCGAAAAATCTAAGAGCAATAAAAACAACAACAAAAAGACAAACCAGGAAAGAAACTGCAGCCATTTTAAAAGTTCATTTTCCAAATCAGAAGTGAGAAAAAAACACACTTGTAAATACAACCTGTTTCAGGCGTATAGTTCTATATTCGCGACGTTCCGGCCCTACCCCATCCCCTCCTTATATGAATGCCTGGAACAGGCTACTG